TGTAAGTCCGATTGCTTTGATACTATACATATTGTTCATTTTCTGATGATGTCTTCAGTTCTTTAATTGAAATGTGCATTTCTAACAGCGGAGCTATCTCAGCCGATAGGCTGCTTGTCATTAAATTGTGCCTTAATTACCCACCATTAAACATTCATTAGAAAGAGTGTCATTGAGTAATGCCATAACGAATAAGCTAGCACATGCTTTCAATAATGATGGGGCCATGCACTTTACTTGCATAAAAAAATTGCATAAATATGAGAAATAGAAAGAGAAAGTTTATGACCAATTGTGGATACACATATAGTTTATAAATTAGATTAGTCTATCATTCAATCTCAACTACTGACCATACACTAATTCATTCAGAATCAATTTACATGGTCACATGACCAGGAATTTGAACATCTAATTTGATTGAATATGCTATTCGTGTAGCATGTCCATAATAATTCAATTTGTGATCAGATAAAAAACGAGAGACATCTTGCTTTTTTGGTCGTATTACTTTTCCCTTAATTGCAGCGGGACTGTGTTATTAACAATGACTTTTTTTTCACTTTACTACCTCACTAAATTGAGATGGTTCTCATGTCTGTCGTTGTTCTCGTCATCATCAGCAAATTTTGTGGCCAGGCTAACTTTATTAATTTTATAAATAATTACTAAAGATTTTTATTGGTAATATAACATCATGTTTAGTCCCTGTCCAGGTGGAATAAGAAAACACCAACTTGAAGATTCACCTCTGTGTATCCGTATTACATCTCTGACATATCTAGATCGACCATGTTCAAATTTCATACATACGTTATACATCATCGTGTGTGTTCATTTCACGATCCGATTCAAGATAGCCGATTCGTCAAAATGAAGCATTGCTACCCAGACTTGATCTTGGTCGTATATGCACGGATTTTATATATTGAACAACATGTGACCATTATGTACATCACTGATGTGGTCGAGTGATGGTGATCTTGTTGTCTGATTTCCTCTGCACTGATAACAATTCAGTCATTTTCATAGTCGTTTCATTAAAGGGCGGTGGTCGTCGCACCGCGCCTTGTTCGATATGGGACTCATAGCGACGTACACAACGCGTGTAAAATACATTGTTTATTTACATGAAATTCGAACACGCGCTGCGCGACGACCACCGCGCGTTAACACATTACTTACTTTCTTTTATAGTTCGATGGTAATAACGGGCAAGTTGTTCAATAATTTAACTATGTTTTATATTCAGAGTGCTGCCATACGTGGCACCTATCTTGGTGTTGATTTCATGGGTAAGACAAATGGTGGCAATGGAGGGTTAGTGATAAATACAGGTTCCATGGCCGGTAAGTTAACTCACGCACCTCGTTCCAGAATATTAAAACTGATATGTCTGAATACTGTTATGTGACTGATTTTGCTGGCCATCCATGTATTTGTAAAAACTACTTTGTCGTCTGCTACTCTGCTTTGGTCTGCTGTAGAACCTTGCGAAGTATTTTAATGAAATGAAAATAAACAGGTGAACAAAAATGCTGCCTATAAAAAAGGGCAATTTGTGAAGATGACCTACTATGTCTGTCTTTTATGATAAACGTCTGGTTTATTGTTCGATAATCCATCAACATAAGTCAGAGTTTCACGAAACGCTTATTTTGTTCAATACAGTACAAGTAGCCACATATTTGGGCCGTAACCCCCGCGTCGAGTCACCAAAATAAAAAAACGATCCGGCTTAGTGTATATGAGACAGAAATCATGGCCTTCTGTGACTCAAAACAAACACGCAAGTTTTTAGTACTCAAACCCACTTAAACATCGGTGTAATAGATGACCAATCAGATTTCCTAGATTCGTTTGAAAAGAGAAACTTCGTTTTAGTAATAGTCAACAGTATGTGAACTTCTTTGGCTTACTGTCATTTTTTAAAATATTTATAGACATCAAAATGTACATTATGTATACTTTTTCACCGAGCAACTTGAACATTTTGAGATATTGAGATAAATTCGTTGCGTAGGAAACGATGGTAAAATGTTATAAAACAAACCAAAAAATTCACTCCATTATGTACGTAGATTTTCTTCGAACAGAGTACGGTGACTACATAATTTTATTTCACTTCCATCGCCCTCGTGACATGAAATATCAAATATGTAAATATGGCATTCTGCCTTAATCCTGTCTCTGACGACTAAATTTGGCTTTTCAGAGTCAAACAATTGCGAGGTGATAAATCCCTATGTATTCACTCACCCTATGTAACATTTAACAGAGCGTATTCATGTTTTGGTCTAATGGCAAGGTGTCTCAAGTACACCCAGTAAAAGTTCTCTCGGCTGACATATTCATTTGTTTCAAATGTTGACGTCATTAACAAAAAAATGTCGTGTCATGCGTATGAACCCCGTAGCCGCTTTACAAAGCCAGGAAATAATTTCAAGGACGAACCCAAAATTCAGCGAAACATATAGGTACTAGGAACTGTTGTTTGGTTTAGCTCACTGTTTAACGCCAATTACCGTCAACAATAAGTTACATTAATAGTGTCATTGTTATTTTCTATCGTGGGAATGAAAGTTGTATGCATGGTTTAAAGCAAATTTCAGTGTCAGATAGATGTCCAGTGAGTCAGGACACATAATACAAAACATATATTTGTTAAGTTTCGCATTTTGACGATGATGTTAGTCAAAAAACACTATCTGGAATCAACTTTATGAATATGATTTACCGTCTGCTTAAACACGAGAGAACGAAAATGTGATTTTTTCAATTTGTGTCCTTTTTAAGCGGGTTCATTATTTGTATGTTTTGACTCGTTATCCTGTAGGACTGTGGCCAGTACCCATAATTCCATGCTACTGTGCGGCCAAAGCTGGTCTCATTCATTTCACGCGTTCGGCTGCTGTAAGTTTTATCACATTATTATGATTAAGGTTTCATTATCCCCTGAATCTCGATATATGTGTTTATCGGATGGCATTTTTTAGTTGCGGGCGATTTTTTGAAATCAATATCTGTCGAAATTGTATAGAACTTTAAGGAATGTTCGTTTATATACGCGTTCAACCAAACCCACCTACACCACCGAGCCCACGTGTTCAGCAGACACGCCATTGGCAATATATCGCCAGGTTGGAGATTACATTACACTTAACCTTTGGATTCCAAATTCCGTTCACCTTTTACCGGAAGTGTTTAGTTGTTTTGTTGTCGCATCCCGTTCCTGTTATTGTAGCAATCATGATGAACTCAATACACACACACTTGCTCATTTGTATAAGTGGGCCGGAGTAACCATTTTCAAAATGGGCGAAAATCGAACTCAACTCGGTGTAATTACTCTGGTGTCAAAGGTTATGTATAGGAGAACAACTGAAACAATGGTCATATAAGCGAATAATTTACATGTCAGATATTCTCTGGCTACTTTTGAGAGTTCATTTTTCACTTTATCATACAGTCTTCAGAAAGCATGTACATTTAGTTTTAATTATGTTTAATAATTTATTTCCACAGGAAGAGCCTATGCTTCAACAGAATGGAATTCGTATTAATGTGATCTGTCTTGACAATGTCGACGTGGGTCCACATCGTTTTGATGCTATGAAACGATTCAAATACGGTCAGATTTTGGAAAATGTCACCAAAGAACGAAAGTCTTTATCGTAAGTATTGGGGATTTTGAAATCTCGTATCAGTGTTTTCTCTCGCGCGGTTGAATTTGGCAATTTGCTTTTCTTGAAAGGGGCGCCCTCTAGAGACAAATCAGGTCCGTGACGTATACGAGCGCGTCGCTGTGTTGTTGTTTTGATCTGTGGTCGTCTGTCAATAAATACTTTTAGAAATGATGAATGATGTCCCAGTCTAGCAGAATTGTCTGATCGGTCGACATCATCGTCATGTTGTCACCAGAGGACGCTGTTTCTAGAAACGTGTTTTCTTTTTTCCTTTTTCAGACTCTCCGAGGCAGTGAGTGGATTCATTCGTGTTATAGAAGACGAATCACTGAATGGGTCTGTGGTGTCGCTACTTGTCGACAAAGGTTACGAAGTTATGGAATTCCCGGAAATAACAATGTCATAAGTCAGAGAGAATTGTTCTCTATTCTGCACCTTAAAAGATTAACGGACAATTTGATTTGAGCGTGATTTTTGAAAAGTCTGCATATACGCTCGGGGGACCATTGAGTTCGTATGCTCGTCGTAGTTCGGTTTGTATCACATCCAATCTTAGAGTCACCAGTAAAACTGCATGCAATGAATCTTGAAAAATCACGATTGTTCAGAGATTCGTTATGAATAAATAACATTAGTTCTAAAATACACCCCAGGGAGTAGAGACACGCCCTGTGTATGTTATTCATCATTGTATTCGATTGTGGTCTGACAATATGGTGTGCTGATGAACTGGTGTTAAAGATAATAACTAAGAAGATTAGTCTGTCCTTGCTGTGTATTTAAAAGAATTGACCAGCAGACTACATAATAATCAATCCAAAAATGGCAGCCATGTACAGAACAGCTTTATTGGCATAATCTAAAAATAGCATAGTTACTAAGTAACGTAGAGGGCGCTGTTGTCAAATTAACTTGCATAGTAAAGTACATTACTATTGTCAAGCTATTCCCGTCCATTTTAGTCATTAGTGTGATATATGCCTCAGTAACATATTATATTAACACGTTATATTAATACATACCTGCACGATGTTTGATTATAATAAAACAGATAACACTTAAAGATGTGACGAATTACTTTATTGTATTTATTTGATAGAACAACGTTAAACAACCGAACGTATTATATGTGCGTTAATTCCATCATTACATCGTTCCAACAATTTATACATTCACCACGTGAGGATCCCGAAATATGGTAGAAGCATAGATCAAAATAATAATATGATGATGATGATTTAAAAGAGGATTCTGTCGCCAATTGCATGAACACTAAGGTAATATAATTGACAATACACTTGCGGCTTTAGCGTATCATCGGTGGTTGACGAGAGGATGTCATTTCTCAGACAAGCTAACTCGCACCATTACCAGGAACCCGATTTGATAATGCTACAACCTGTCCGGTTGATAAGGCAATCTCACACTAGATCGACAGCAGTGAGCTAGTTCGAATATGGCAACACTAAGGTACTGTAAAATGACTAATTTTCACTGGGTTTAAATTTAACTGATTTACCATTTCAGGCATATTCAGTCGGTTTTAAATTCACGGTTTTATCATTTAGATAATGTGTTTTATGCTAAATTTTACATATTCACTGGGTTTTAATTTAGCGCATTTTCCAGTCAGCGAAATAAGTCAAATCAAAACCCAGTGAATAATTAACCATATTACAGTATCGTTTAATGTGCCGTTTACACCATGTCAACATATAATGAACACGTTCCTAGTCTTGTTGATAGCGCATCTATCGCTTAGAGACGCTACGGAAGTCTTACCATTTTGGGGTTAACCCAAATCCCAGTAATTCGGTAAATCTCCGCTAGCATGATAATTAATAACTATGATAATTAATAAGATCGCGATATGGAACACGTTATTAAAGGGTGGTGGTCGTCACGTCACGCATGTGCGTGATAGCTGTTAATAAACTGATTGTCCCACAATTCTATTCGCTCTCTGAGTGACAAGTCTGACTGTGAGTTTTGATCTGACCACGATGTACACTAAATACTGACTGTATGATTCCGTTAAATCTTGGTAGTGTCCCTCTCACCTTTTTTGGCATTGCCAATGCGCTACAATCAAAGTCACCATTTTTGTCACAACCCTTTAACTTAAACATGAACACTACCATGTAGTACTAGTAGCATTACGCCCGATGTATTCAGGGCTCATACCACTAATTGAATTTCCATAGACGACAATGTTAACATACTATGACGAGATTGCTATATGAAAATGATGAAGAAAGTTGAAAACATGGCTCAAAAATGGGAAATCAACATGCCAGTAATCAACCATATGAAAAAAAACTAACGTGTTGGCCAGCTCAAACTCATACAAATCTCAGGTAAACAAGACACACCTACTGTATTTGGATTGCACCAAGAGAAATCACTGGAAAAACACCAAGATTAGAACATCCAAATACACACAGAATAAACCCACAGGTACACAGCCGCTAAGTAGTAAACAAAAGACCATATGTTGGTCTCACCTTTGACCCAGGTGATTACGCCCTCAAACAGGGAGCACCTGAGAAAAAAAATATTTAAAAAAATTCATTGGTTCTTGCAAGGCATTTAAATTGGTTAATTAGTGGCATGAGACCTAAAAGCAATAACGTGGAAACGAACAACACCGAATACGGAATCCGAGTTTGACAGTGTCTCCAATGAAGAATTACTTCCATTTATCACCACAAGGTGGCAATGATTATAGACGTTACTTGGTTTAACGAGAGTTGGAGACTTGATATACTAGTATGTGCCATGAGCAGATTTTATCTAAACGGTTGTTTAAAGCGAGTAATTGACCCCGTGTGAATGCATTGTGCTATAACTATTTGTCCGCCATTAATAACTGTAATCTTGACATACAGAATTCGGAAAATAAACTCCAGAGGTCGCCGTTGATAGATACGAACCAACCCCAGACGTGACTTCGTATGTTATTAATAATGTTTACGGAAGTGTCTATGATTGGTTTAATGTTCAAATACGATGTGCATGTTATTGGCAAATCTGGGGCGAGGTTTATGGCAGAATCCTGGAGTGTATCATTGTTGTATTGCTGAAAAGTTGGAATAAAGAGAAAGTTGGTGACGGGCTTGTTGGGAGCTTCGGATTTTTTGCTCTGCCCGGAGCAGGCATTGAACTGAATCTATCGTGTTGTGGTAGTTATTGAAGTGACTACAAACAGGTAACGATGTAACTGTCACATCACTGTTCGCTGCTTTTTATTATTTTAAAGTATGCTAAATCAACCTGAGAATTGCAATATACTGATTGGTCAACTTGAGACAGCAGTTACACGAAATAAGGCACCTACGCAATTATGGGATGAATCTGAATAATAGTTTTCAAGTAGAGATGACTTTATGAAAAGTTTATGCAAAACGATAGACAAATGCACCATAATATACGTCAGATGGCTGCGCAGCGTAAACAATAAAATGCGTTCCAATAGGTTAGACTCGAGCCTATAGAGGGCGCACATCAAACCGGCACACATTCAGGGTGGACGTCAGGGTGGACGTCAGGGTGACACAGTCAACTAACGAGAGAGGCAAGAAAGTGGATTGGAAGGTGTAATGAAAACTAATTCTATCAGTGACATCAAGTAATTATTTCTTATACAACAACTCTAGATCGTACCATAGAGACTTGTCAAAACTCCCAAAGCGAAGTTAATAGAGGCTTCGTCGTTGATCGATGGGGGTGACATGAAGAGCAATCCACGAGACTGCTTTTACAAAACAAATTATAAAACTGACATTGTTGGGTATAATCCGAATTCAAGTTAAAATGATGTGTGGCGTGTTTTACTTAGGGGTCAACAACATGAAATCAAGTGACAGGCTGGAGAATTTGACAACAAATATTTGCAAGCCAGACACAGAGGATAAAATATGCACACAGGTTATCGCAGGAAAAACGCTGACAAGTAAAACAACAAGCAGCCTCTCGGCTGAGATGGCTCCGCTGTTAGCAATGCACATTTCAATTAAAGAACAAGAAGTTGAAAATATCACTTTTTACCAAAAATGACAAAAATATTCACCAAAATTAGAGAATTGAAGATATCATTACAAAATGAACAAATCTGAGAGAGGTCCACATGTAATACCTATATATGTAATATCAAAGCAATTGGCCTTGCGGTTTTTAACAAGAAGTTGAAAATATCACTTTTTACCAAAAATATTCATCAAAATTGGAGAATTAAAGATATCATTACAAAATGAACAAATCTGAGAGAGGTCCACGTGTAGTACCTATATATGTAATATCAAAGCAATTGGACTTGCAGTTTTTAACAAGAAGTCGAAAATATCACTTTTTACCAAAAATGACAAAAATATTCACCAAAATTAGAGAATTGAAGATATTATCATGAAATGAACAAATCTGAGAGAGGTGTACCCAAGGTACATATACACCAAGTATCAAAACATTCAGGCTTGTAGTTTTCAAGAAGAAGTCGAAAAAGTAAAACATTGACACGGACGACGACGGACAATCACTCATATGATAAGCTCCGCTCGACAAAGTCGACAGCGGAGCTAAAAATGTTCAGATAAGGGGTCAACCATTTGAAAGCATGGGGGTGGCTGGACGAGGGTGACCAGTGTATTTTTTTACATTGTCTTATATGTACATTTACATGTGAATAAACTTTTCCTGTAACACCTTGCCTGCATTTTTTCTTTCAGTGTCCAGCTTGCAATTTTATTTTTTCAACAAATCTTCTGGTTTCCCCCATGAATTACAATGGTCGATGCCTTACAATATATACCTAACCTACTGAAACACATTGTAGTGTTTTCCTGCTTTGAGAGGACACAAAAGAAAGAATGTAAGTATCTACCATAGTCCAATGAAGACTTTAGTGGCTTCAAGGAAATTATTTCACACAGACCTGTGAGGGCACACTAATGGAATACATACATGTTCTTAAAGGGTGGTGGTCATCGTGCCACACATGCTCAATATATATGGATCTCATATAAACAAAGATGGTGACTTTGACTGTTGTGCAGATAAACAAGTAAAAACTGAGACATTACTAAGCAACCTCATTATCCATATATGGGTATTCTGTAATGTCATTGCACAATCTCATTATCCATATATGGCCATACTATGATACCATTGCACAATATCATTATCCATATATGGCCATACTATGATACCATTGCACAATCTCATTATCCATATATGGGTATTCTGTAATGTCATTACACAATCTCATTATCCATATATGGGTATTCTGTAATGTCATTACACAATCTCATTATCCATATATGGGTATTCTGTAATGTCATTACACAATCTCATTATCCATATATGGGTATTCTGTAATGTCATT